AAACTGATGAATATGTAACATGCAATATATTCTATTCCACTTTTTAATCAAAAAGTAATATTTTTTCTTATCTCAAATATATAAAGCTCATATTTCTTTCTTATAGTTTCAATTTTATGAACAATAAAGATTACATATATCAATAATTTATTCATTGAAAATAAATACTTTAATTCATGCATCATTGTTTTAATAAATAAATTTTATTTATTTAGCTTGTGATTTATAAATTATTATTTTCCTATTTTATTTATTAAATTAAATATAGAATTTTAATATTAGGAAACCAATTGAACCATTCTACTCATTTTTAATTTTCTCGCTATATTTGATAATTAAGGTAAATCATTGTGAATTTTTATTTGCAGCTGAACTTCTACAATTAGAGTAGTTAGTTGATGAGGTTGAAAATTAAGAGATTATATATAAAGAAAGTACTCCACTTTGCAATAATGATAAAAGTTATACATCATTAATTTATTAAAATTATATATATATTAAATAATCTTAGTAACTGTTACAACTTTAGATTATAAATTAACGATTAAAATAGAACTTCGGATAAAATAAGAATTAGTTTACAAAGATGAGGCTCTAAATATTATCTTATTTATCTATTTAAACAGGAACAATAAAATTCTAATCATTTTTATAAGAATTAATATTTAATGATAAAATGAAAATTTTCAATCATAATTCTATTTCAGTATTTATATAACCAATATTTCTCATTCTATATTTGACTAAAATATAAAAGCCTATTATTTAGAATATTATAATGGCTATTAATGAGTAAATCCATCTTCTTGAAGGAGTGTCTAAGTCAGAGGAAGTATAAAAGTTATCTCATAAGATCCAGATGAAAAATCATTCTTACATGAAGTCATCACATGGAATGTATTTCTATTTTACTTATAATGGCATTTTAATATTCTTGTATATATTGGATAATATAAAACTGACCCATTATTCGATGCAAGGCATGTAGCATTTTCATCCTCTTAGTTTTTAATTAAAGCAAATCCGAGAGATGTAGTATTTAGTTAACCTAACATCAAAATAGGCTCTTCAAAATTGTTATTGAGTAATTTGGCAGTTTAGTAGACTCTTATAATATAGGTACTTCCTTATTTAAATTGTTGAAGTAGCAAGCCATTGTAATATATAGAATTTGGAACTAACCCCAAACCATTAGAACTTGGGATAGTGGCTATAACTCTTCTAATTCCATCAAAAAAGGGCTAAAACAATTATAATATTAAAAATTATTCAAAGCCATCAGTACTGGAGATAAAGATGAATATTTAATTGTTAATTATTTGCAATATCAAAATTTAAACATATAGAATGGGTTTAGGGCTAATAATAAGTCTGTGAAAATCATTTTTTTTCAATGTTATTGAATTTTCACTAAATTATAGATATTAAGAATAGGGCACATTATTAATGATGTATAAAATAACAATTAAATTTGATTAATTTAAATCTAAACTAGAATTTAATTGAGCTACTGAAAAGTCTTGACAATCACCATTAAAACCTAATTTCTACATGCTGTTGTTTAATGAAGTAAAGAAGTATACGTATTGATATTTAGAATTATAAGAGCCCAAAATAAAGTTAAATTAAGCTATATTATTTATTTTAGATATCTCAATAAATTTATGAGGAATAAAAAATAAGTTAACATCTGAAACATTTCCAAGAGAGTCAAGGGAAATGCTAAGCCAATATTATATTATGCAGTTTCATTTTGACAAATATAAGATATTGTTAAATTAAAAGATGTTGATTTTAAGCACTCTGTAAAATTTAAATTAGAATTATCAAAAAATTAAAGAATTTCAAGTTTCGAATTAACAATTTTGATTTCGTTATTGTTTTACAGAACAAAAAATTAGTTATTTACTGCAGTTATTAAGGTGTAATTTTAATTGGGGATAGTTATGAAGTAACCGAAATTTGGTAGGTTGCATAAATTATTTGAAAATTATTCTTCATCAAATTAATCAACATTTTCTACATAAGAATTATCAGAACTATCAGAAAAATAGCAACGATTAGCCTGTCTATCAAGGATTATATTCATAGGGATAGTGAAAGTTCGATCAATTAAATTTAAATCTTGTATCTACAAAAATATAGTTTTATTAATTTTTGGTTAGAAATAGGTGAAATTTGATAAGTAAATTAAGCTTTAATTAGGTGTAGATTAAAGAGCTGTTTAATTAAAAACAGTAGTAATATTATAATTATAAATCATAATTGGGTAAGAGTGCTCAAAGTTTAGAGATTAATTTATATAAAGATTAAAACTTTGTCTAGTTGATAATGAATTGATTGTATTTTCATAATATAAGATTCTTTAAACTGAGCATCTCAATTATGATGATAAATTGAGTTCATATTATAAACTCATATGTTCTGGTAATTAAGGATTATAAACGAAAACAGTGTAATTTGAAAATTGGATATAAAAAAACAAGTTATCAGATAGTATTTATACTTAATTCTCATACTTTCCACTGATCATATTTTTCATAAAAAATGGGTCTCTAAACTTTTGAATACTCCATACTTAGAAACAGAGATCAAACCCTTAATTGCAAATATAGGATAATACTAATTATTGATTCACAATGTTTATTTATTTAATTTAGAATTTACACTCTATGATTGAAATTGGTATTGGGATATTATTTTAACCAATAGCAATAATAATGACATTGTTAATATTATTGATAAACAGACATGAAGATAATGATTAAGGATTCACAGCTATTTAGATTGGATTAAATTTTATAAAACTGTCTGTATTATATAAGTTATTAATCATCATTTAATTAATAATTACTAGATCAGTGTAGTTTAAAGTCATGATTTAAATTTCTTTATTTATAAACAAAGTTATCAAGTTATTAAAGGTTACTAAAAATTCTGAAAATTTATTATTCAAATTTATACTCAAAAGAGAAATAGGGTAATTTGGCAGAATCGTATATTTAATAAAGGTAGATTGTATCATTATCACTAAGTCCTATTATTAATGTTTGATCTATGTCATAAGCCACTTATAAGCTTTGAGCCTGAATAGTAATACTAATATTCATAAAAGGATAAAATGAATTTAAAAGGAAATTTGAATAAAAAATTTATATCGATTCGTTTGTAACTCCGATAAAATAAATCTTCTATTTTCCAACACCTTAAGTTGGGTTTAATAATTAGGCCAAGTAAAATATTTGATTTTATAATTCGAAAAAGGTTTATAATGTTGTTTACTTAAAAAATCCAAATTATTTATTATCTGAATTCACAATATATGATAATAACTTGCCTGAATAGCCTAAAAAGACTGATTCACTTTTTTCAGCCCCATCAATATATCTGTACTGAGGAAAATTTTGATTGTATATTACATAAATATTTGTATCATTTTAATCTAAAATCGTGATAGACATAAACATTTTACAAATACTATTGAAAGTAAGATTTAAAAATTAAGCATAAATTGTAATAACATAAGTCCTTTCTTAATCTTATTATTCTGTTAAATTAATTTATAATGAGGGCATTAACAATTCATAAACAATAATTTATTTGTTAAATGTAAATATAAGTAAAAATATATATTTGCATTTTAGTTAGTTATTATAAGGATTATAATATATTTAAGTGTTCTAATCAATTGCAATAGAGGCAATAGATATTTCATTATATTATTGTTAATATAATGTTAGATAGTCTTAAGATTAAAATAAGACAAATTCATTATCAAAAAAAAACTAAATTAATTGAATTGATCTTTTAGAAAAATAGTTAGCTTCATATTTTTAATAAAATACATCCTAACATCCTAAGATTTGAAATGCAAAATAGTTGTGTTATATCCTATTCGTATAAAATCTATAATAAATCACATTAAGAATAAGCTTGGTAGTCATAATAAACTTGAAAATTATTCACTGTTCTTTAAAATGAATAATTTGTTGTTTATTGAAAAGTGTAATCCTAAATAATGACAAATTAGGATATAGATTATCTGTAGAGTAGATATATAGATGGGTTTTCTCTTTAAGGAATACCAAATTATATAAATTAATCTTCGAAAGATGTTAAATTTTAAAATTGAGATGAAAATAAAGTTATGATCGATAAATTTTGATAAAACTAGGCATATATTAAAAAAGTTTTTGATTCATTTAAATTCCCTGCATTTTTGATGAAATTGGCTCATTTGTTTAGATTGAATAAACTATGTTGAAACTAGTGTTCATTAATTTTAATAAATAAAGATTTTATTCTGTATAACAATCAAGTAAGATATCAATACCATCGAAAAAAATGATATTATAGCATAGATATCTCTGATCAATTTTAGCTACTTAACCATATTATTAAATATTAAAATTATTCCACTCATATAGTATAACATGACTTTCTTTAGTTATTGTTGCAAAATGAGTTTAATTAGATGATATTGATATAAATTCTAATATTATGATTCATATATACCATATCCTTATATATTTTACATTTCATTGAAAGCATTTACTATTTCAATATTTGGTATATTAGGTTCATAATAATAACTATAATTATCTCCCTAAAATAAATTGTTCATAGGATATTCTAAATGCTCTCCATTAGTTGGGTATAAATTAATTTCTTCATAGGTCTTAAAGCAACTTTGAACTAAAAGGATTAAAGCAAAAAAAATCATAAATAAATAATGTTAAAATAAAAGGTAGTGATTAAGAAGTTAATTAGATCTGATTCTAAACTAGATACAGCTTAGTGCAAAGTATGATAAATTTTAAATTTATAGAAATCAAATCACTTAATAGGAGATCAAGTTGTTTCTCTACTTTATTGAGATTGAGCAACACCATTATTCATAATATTCAGTATTTTTTGTATGAAATATTTTAATTTATAATTTACAAGCAATTTGTGAAATTAATTAGGTAAGAGATTTCTTTCTAGGCTAGGTGGAGACTTATAACCATGAAAAGGTCTTATATTTCTTAGATATGACATTTCAACAAATGCTATCATTTTCTAATTGATTCAATTAAGGTGAGAATGGTGGCTATAAAATACTTCTGACTGAACTTAATATTAATAGCATACAAATTCTTTAACTTTCATTTCTAAGGCTCCTATCATAAAAGCGCATTTTGTTTATCTAAATATAAATAAATCTCTATCCTCAATTTAAGTTTGGGCTTATGCAGACCTTATATATTATTACATTTTGGTAAGTATCGTTTTTTTATTGGAAAATGAATAAATTCTAATTTTATAGCCTAAAATAATAATCATAATATTATTTCCTTGATCTATATATTATATAAGGTGCTATTTAGAGATTCATGTCGTTAATAATATTGAGAACGTTTCAACTTTCTGTAGCCTGTCTTTATTATTTATTTGAATTCCCTTAAAGAATATCGAGTTTCTCTTAATTCTAACCGAAATTCTACAGGAAGATGCAAAATTTTCTCAATTATAATATTAACTACTCGCCTATCTTGCAGTCATTGATTATATTTTAGGAGCAGATATTTACAAAGAGTAGGTTCTGCATTTATTTCATTAAAACATTGGAGGTACGTTGAATTAAATTAATTATAACCCAGAAAGCACTTAAAATAATGGAAATAATAATGTGGATATAAAATAGAAAAATAAAAATTAAAAATTTCATCGATGATGTCATAATTGGCGTGTCTCGGGAATCTCCCCCTGAGCCTACCATAACTTCTTGGAAAATGAGGTAGGCCCAGAGTAGGCAGTATAATATCAAGGAGATGGATGAGAAGAGGGAGAGTTAGATTTTGGGATTAATCCCCTCCCGAAGACCCGGCTGGGCCCAGCTGCCCAGAGGAGGATATTTTATATATTGTGATTCTCCTCATAAATTTATATTTTATAGAAAAAATATTTACCGCTTGAAAAGATGTTGTGAAATTAAAAATTTGAATTTCCTATGAATTATTACAGGTTGAAGCTTACTTAATATCAGACTGAAAACTCCATCTTCACTCCATGTCGTAATTCACAGCTATATGCCAGTGTTTTAATCAGGTTTACTTTATTTCTTTCTATTTCATTCATAGTTCCTTGTTAGCCTCAATTTCATTAGAATAACCTTAAATAATAATAGTAACTGTTTTAGAGGATTAATGTGTCTATAAACAAATAATCTAGTGCTGAATAAAGACTGGCCGTGGATACTCTTGTGCTATGGAGTCTAAAAGTATTCAATATTATTTCTAATCATTTTTAAAAGTCCCTTATTAGCTTTCCATTTACAAATTATAGTACCGATACCTAGAGAACGAACAGAAAATTAAGACATATATGAATTCATATATCATAAGAATAATTAATCAGAAAAATACAAACAAAACAACCTCAATTGATGATGTTCTAATATAAGTATAAGTTAAAATCATAAAAAAACTTTTCGAACGACTCCTAAAAATATTAAATAAAATTTGAATAAAGATATTATTTAGATGAGGAGCATAAAGAAAAGGGAGGTACCTGAAAAGATTATAAGATAAATTAAAAAATTGGCTAGAGGTCCTTTGCCATTTCCATTTTGATTTCTTAAATTTTCTTATTTTTCTTTTAAGACTTTCAAGTGGTTGGAGTTTAATTTTAATAAATTTATTTTTGATAATCTCCTTCTCTTTTTTCAATAATTTTTCACTTAGTTTGTTTCATTTATAATATCATTTTAATTTTAGGGGAGCTAAGTTATGCTTCTAGATTTTTTTATTTGTTCATGAAGAGAAGAACTGTTCAATTGGAAGATTCTCTCTTCAAAACCAAATTATTTCATTTATAAGTAAATTTGTTACAAAATTGGCATCATCAAATGACATTGCATTGATGGGAAACAATTCAACAGCAGCAGTCAATCCATTCAAGTTCACAGCATCATCAGGACACATCATTTTCATTCAATTTTCTCATGTCAGCACACCTTTC